CGATCCTTATTCTCTTTCTTTGACCTTCTTTATCTTGAATGGGTTTTTTGAGAAATTTCTTTGCAGAACGATTCTTGTGAAATTTTTAGATCCGAAAATTCGTCCTCTATAGAATGATAAGGTGGTGAGAAAAATCGGTCGTGCAGTGCCACTGTTTAGCGATGATATTGTTTCATATTGCCTGTTTTCCTGAATGAAGAATTCTGTCCAAAAGGGGGAAAAATGTTGCAAAATGTCAAAAATTATGCAAAAAATAGATAAAATTGCAACTGTTTTTCCGAAACGCTCGATGTGAAAACGAGATTTAAGATTTGAAAATTAGAAAAATAAGCACTGAAGCAACATCTTCGTTGCTGCTTTTGATTGATGACTTCCAGCGGTTCTCAAATACCCCGTTCCCCATCCTCCCCTTCGAGCTTTCTTTCAAAAAATCATTTTTTTGTTTTTGTTGATAATGTTTTTATGGATAAACAATTCAGATAACTATTTGCTTCAGAGAACAGGCAAGCAGACTGACAGATTTTAATACAGCGGCAGTTGCTGATGGTTTAATATACAGCTACAAATATGTCTCGAAAGTCCTGGAATTGCCGTTTAAGGATATGATGAGCAGGTTATTTTGCTCTTTCTGCTATTCGTTGACCTAGCTGGTTATTCTATTTTCGAGTGCGTGGAAGGGTGTTTTCTACAGTTTTCGAAAATCGAAGTGAAAAATGATGAAAAATTAAGGCCATTTAGAGGGCCACTTTTGATCGAAAATTCGTCTGAACGTATTGTGTTTCTACGTTTTCTCTTCTGAAAATGCAAAAGAATACTGGTGATTACTTTGATGAGCACACCGACCTTCAAATAAAACTGTAACAGTCATTTCGAAAAACTCTGGTCATATGGCAATACTAGTAGATAGAGGATGGACTAAGTGGATTACTGGATGATATTGCCGTCATATATCCACTCAGTATTCAAAGAGCAAGGGATGAAGGCCACCAGGATTCACCGAAAATCTTTCTGGAATTATGTGGATGCGAGAGGCTTAACATGGAAAAGAAGTGAGAATTAGCTGGCTGCACCAATGGTATGAAGAAATGCGACGATGAAACAACAGATGACCATTGCACCGATTTCTTCACAAAGCATGCATTTAATAAAAATAATTGGCCAACGCATGGGCTGCCCGTGCGAAGAAGCGTTTTTTGCATAGCTCCCTGCAGATTTTTGTCGTTAACGGCATTGGTTTTTCCGGCAGATGCTTCTAGCTAAAAGAATTTCAGAGTGGTCGCCAGAACTGTTAGGAAACATCCCTTCAAAATTTCAGTCTACTAGCTTCTTACATTCCCGAGTTAGCAACTTACCTGAAAGAAACTTTCACGGGTCCGTATGTAGGTACCACACGTACCCGGGGACTGGGTTTGAACTTATTAATACCTATTTGGACGGGGAATATTACCCTAAGATTTCAGCGTTCTAGCTTCTCAGATCCCCGAGTTATGAACTTAGCCGTAGAAAACTTTGGCGGGCTCTTCTCAGATCCCCAAAATGGGTGCCACCACGCGGTAGTGGCACCCATTTTGGGGATTCTAGTCCGTACATGCATGTAGATTATGTCCCCAAAGTTTCAGCCCTGTAGCTTTTGCCGGTCTCGAGATGAAAAATCGGTATTGTAGATTATACCCTCAAAGTTTCAGCCCCGTAGCTTTTGCCGGTCTCGAGATGAAAAATCGGTACGACAGACACACACACACAGACAAACCGTCAGTATGCGTTTTCCGCATTGCATAGCTGCAAAAAAGGCATAAAAAAGTGGGCAATCGCGGAAACATAAAACAAAATATACGATGCCTGTAGAAGCTTGATCCTATAAAGCGTCTGTAGACGAGTGCCGTATGCGCAGCTTTGATTGCTCGAAATTCTAGATCTTGGGGTCAGTAGCACGTCACTGTTTGTTGAATCGGTAGATGGTGGTTGTGAAGAGTTTGCTTTTCTCCCTGCTCAGTCGTACCTTTGCAGATAAGCTTCCTTCGCGACAGGTACCTGGCCCATTTCGTCTTCGTAGCTGTGGTGTTGCTCGTTTTGTTATTGTTTAAAAAAAAAAATGTTACATTTGCAGTTTACTTTTTCTGTGTATTTTTCAGTACCATTACAAGGAATATGAGACTGCCGAAGATTTACCTAACAGGTCGCCCG